GTGGAGGGGAGACATGAAAGGCTTAAAAGATAAAGCCCATGTCTTTGAAGAGAGAAAACTACCATATAAGAAGAAAGTAGTCTATATCCATTTTTATTAATACATTTTTAACAAACACATGAAATGGTTTATGTCAAATTGTTGACACTTTCAATGCAGCTGCCTAAGGCAATAATATGTATGTCACATTTGAGCACACCAGTACGTAAATTTCTTTAGTTTCCATTCATGCAAATAAGAAGCCATAGTGATGTTATTCTTTTTGTTTCATTTTGTTTTGATAATTAAAATAATGTATTGTCAACTATCTCGGCAGTTTGCTTGCTATTATTAAGCTGATAAAAAACATTCCAGAGCAGAGCGATTCGCCAGCACCATCATTAAGCTTCAAATCTGTCATTTGCCACAGAGCAAGAATATACTTCAGATCAAGTCGAGAAAATACCTTCTAAGTGTTCACAGGAGCACCCACATCCATTTACGTGCATCCCAGTGCCTTGTGGCCCCCTTTGCAATTGTCTAACTCCTATCCCAGTTTCTTTTCATAGTATGAAAACAAGAAATCACTCAAGTGAGATAAACCTTCAGAGCATGGTTGAAAATATATTAAATATAGAGGTATCTCAGATCCCTCTTCTAAACTTTAAAAGTATATTAGCACATAGAGAAAATATCTGTAGATATATTCTATGTTCTGATGAGTTTTTGTTTCTCCTGTTTTGATAATACCTTTTATTTCTTCTGAGACCCTTCCTTTGTAGTCATTTGGTCCTGTTGTATTTAACTTCTTTTGATACTCCAGGGGCAAACCATTGCCTTTTGCAACCATGCAAATGACCTTTTTATACTGGGGTGAAGGGGAGTGGTCTCATAATTATTCATCTGATAACTTCAACAGGTTTTTTTTTTTTCCCTTTTTGAGTGTAAACATTAATTTCTATTGGGACATATGTACCACCGTTAGCCCCTTCTTGTTTATCCAGAGAACTTAAATTGCTTTTGTTCATTTCCCATACCACTCCTCGTGCTTCATCTCCAGGACTTTGAAAAATGGTGGCTGTACCTCCATGCCAACCTTCACTTGTTTTGCCTTGGGACTTGCCAAAGTCAATCTTAAAATCCTGCAGGTGGGCCTGCGACAGAACATGGCCCAGGGCTTTGGGAGGTGAAACCGCTCAGTCAGCATGTTGCTGCCAAAGGCAAAGTACAGGGAACTCCCGGCCTCCTGGCCCCGCAGCTCCTCTCAGCCCGAGTCTGCCAGGTCCCACTAGGCGCCTGTGTGGCCCCAGCGTCCACAGCAGGGGTATGAGGAGAGGATAGTGAGGGCAGTGTGGTGGCAGATGACCCCAGCCCAGAGGCCACTGTGCCACCCTCCACCCGCTCTCCCAACCCCAACCCCAGTTAGGGGAAAGGCAAGAAGTGTGTGGGCCACTATAGTCATGTTTTAATAAGCATGACATAATGTATGTTCGTTGATGTTTTTTTAAATAAACTTTTTTTACTTTATTAAAATACACATTCAATCCAAAATGTTTCCTCTGGAAATCGAAATCTATAGCTGCTTAACAATATTGAATAAGGGCCGGCCAAGTGGCACATTGGTTAAGCGTTAGCTTGGGACGTCAGCTCTGAGCAGCAGAGCCCCAGTTCGGATCCCACATGAGGGCCAGTGTCACTGCCCTCTACAGCTAAGATGGTGAACAACAGCTCAACCTGGAGCTGGGCTGCTGTGAGTCGCCTGCAACGGCATAGGCTGCAGTGGGGCTGGCCGGCAACGGGCGTGCACTTCCATGAGCTGCCGTGAGCTGCTGTGAGTGCCTGTGCAGTGGCTGGTGAGTGACTGCCTCACCCGGGAAAAGCACAATGATAATACCAACATGGGCCAGCGAAGCCACGTCCTCCACAACTAGACTGAAGAACAAAAGGACAGTGACTTGTCTGTTCCCTTTCCCCAATTCCCCAACGATATTCCCTTCCCCCAATTCCCCAATAAAATCTTTTTAAAAAAAAATATTAAATAGTGTTCTTAAATATGCACATTGTTAGTGTACTTGGACTTGTATTTTTTAAGGAACACAATTAGTATATGTGAGGTTCCACGAGACCTGTTATCCCACATTAACTTCATAATGTCAGTTTTTGATTATTTGTGTTTAATAACATGCTAGTGTGGATAATGCAAAATTAAAGTTATTCCAAAACATTATCATTAGCATTCAGACTCATTTGATAACAGATTTAGCTTCCTGATTGTATTTTCATAGAATAATGTTAACTTTTTTTCTTTTTTTCATCATTTGATGGTAGAGAGGTGACTCAAATATTCCAAAGACAGAACAACCCAGGCTGCAGCTTAGTAATAATAGTAAAGCCTATTCATGTGGCTAGGTATACTTCACTACCTATTTTCACAGCCATCTCTTCCAGGTTTAACCTGAGAAAGGCTACAGAACTATTGAAGGTAGAACTAGCTCACAGATCCTCAGTGTTTGGGCTCAGTAGCTGTCCAAGCACATTGACAAGGAGATTCTGCTTTGAGTTTCTGCAATGATGAGAAGACCGCGAGAAAAGAAGAGGGAAAATACAATAATTTTGTATGCTCGTATAATCCTAACAGCGACTCTAAGAAGCAAGTACTGTTACCATCCCATTTGTAGAAGAAACTGAGGTCTCAAGTGCTCAGTCAGCTTGTCCAAATACACACGTTTCTAGGGTGAACTTGGCATTGGAAACTAGGCAATGTGACTCGGTAACCTCTGAGTGTTTTTAATAATTCCCTTGAGTTGCAACTGTAGTTAGGTACAGACACTTTGATAATAAAATGATTCAAGGAATAACAGCTATCCCACAGAGCCATCTGGTTTCTCTCAGCCTCATCACTGGGCCTCTTCTATTTCTGGTGAGTAAAGAGTGGTCTCCAACTGAGGTTCTCCCTCCCCATTTCCTCTCTTCCTACTCAGGATAGCAGGAAGTCTGAACATTTTATCTATTTAGCATCTCTAGTAATGCAGGTTGTGAACACACTTCACCATCAGTTTAGTCACTGTTTATTGATACTTGTGCTAAGCTCTGTGAGGGGACGTAATTCAGATATGTTTTCAGGCATCAAACTCAAGATGATAATGGTCCGGTGTGATAACAAAGATCTCAGGAAGACAGGGCAGGTGGCGTTATTTTGGGTTTCCAAGATGGAGCTCTTCACTACACATGTAATTTAGAGCTATGTTTATTTGGATTGGTGTTTAAAATTAGATATTGACCATCTGTATTTCTCTTGATGAGTGTGGAGTCATCCTGACCAAAAGGTTTTTGAAGGTAAGGAATAGCTTACATTTGCAACACTATTTTTTGAAAAGAAAAAAAGATGTGGAAAAATTGGAGAATAATGCCCAGTAGTAGAAGACTTATGAGAATTTTGGTATGCATCCAGAGACATATTATGTAGCCATTGAAATGAAAATTATAATCTATAGCAACATAAAAATCACAGACATGCATGTGCTAGACCTCAAGCAATATGAGACAAGGAAAAGAACTTGACATTTTTAGTGTGTCTACTATATGCACGTACTATAGTACATTTATTTTATCTTCCTAACAACATGCAAAAATGTTGATGTTATTTCAATATTTCATAAGTTAAAGAATTGGGGCACAGATATGTTAGGGGACGTCACCAAGGTCACAGGCGGTGGTTGAGCAAAAACTCAAATCCAGATGTCTAAAAATCCAAATCTGATCATCTTTTCCCAGTTAGTTTACTCTGAGCTATTCAGCCCTCTCCCCAGCATTGTTTTGGTTTAATATAATTGTTTTTTCAGTAAAGAGTGGAGTCACATGAATTCAGCTGAAAAATGCATGCACTGTGAAAATACTAAATTGTAAAAAGAATTGTGAATTACTTTAGGCTGTATCACAGAGTTGCCAGGACAATCAATAGTTGACACCATCTGTAAAATGAAAACATAATCTTAGCATAAACACTTTATCTGATACTTGAAATATGCATGTATGTAACTGCCAAAATATTAGCTGTTCTCTGTTAGCCAGAAAGTTCCAGGGACAAGACAAGAGCAGAACAGCCCTTATTTGTCGATAGCAAGCAAAATATTTTTTCCTTTGGGAAGAAGTTGTGTTGTTGGTAGCTAATGTCTGAGAACTTGGGGGATGGAGCCCCTGTATTAAACTAGTGCTACATAACTCATACCATTTTTTTTAACTTTGCTTTCACATGTTAACTTTGTATTGCAATTACCATACATTACAGAATAATCTGAGAATTACTTTACTTTTAAACAAATAACAAAACTTTTCTTATAAAGGTTGCATTTTTCTGTGCCATATTTTATCTATGTTGATGTGTTTGCTATATTGATAGTAAACATTCTCCATTAGAAGTTTAGAAACTGTTAGACTTAAAAATAAGGACTTTGTTTCATTAACCTACTTGGGTTAGATTTGGAAAGGACTTAGTGGTTGAATTTGAATGTTTCTTTAGTTCGTTTACCCTTGAAAACATCAGTAAAATTTTACAACATATTTTACTTATTTATATTTGCATAAATTGTATGGAATATTGCTAAGGACAGGGAACAGAAAGTGGGTGGGCATAGATTTGTCAGCTTTCCCAACTTAATAGTTTATTTCTTGGTGTCAACTTGAAAAAAACGTTCAGTTCTTTCCATCTGAAATTGTATCACTTTTAACTTTTTTCTCCGGAAAGTACAATCTGACTAAGTCTTCCTATGTAACCTATGCTTTCTCATTAAAGAAGATAACTATTTCTGCCCTATTTAAGGCACAAAGTACACAGCAGCTGTTTGAAAACTTTTTTTCTTTCTAGTTATCTTTGTCTGTTTGTGTAAATGGCTAAATTGCTTCCATAAAATGCTTCCAGACATAAGGGAATCATTTGCCTAAGTGGAAGAAGATTTTTGTCTTCCATTGAGGAAAGCTTGAAATGACCTCTTAATCATTGTCCTTCCTCTCTCCGGTCCTAGTATCCAGCTGCTCTAATGAACCTGGGAGCCATTCTGCACCTCAATGGCCGACTCCAGAAGGCAGAGACCAATTACCTGCGGGCGCTGCAGCTCAAGCCAGATGATATCATCACGCAGTCCAATCTCCGCAAGCTCTGGAACATCATGGAAAAGCAAGGCTTAAAGACTTCCAACACCTGACACAGAAGGGCAATACCTTGTCCTCCTCCATCTTTTAAAGCTGGCTTCATTAATGAACAGAACTTCCCAACAGTTCTATGACAAGAACTAGTTTGGACTTCAAGACCAAGGCAGAAGTCACTGAGGTCATCGTCACTTCTGGGAGTATCCGCTTTGCTGTTGCCACAGCCATTAACACCAAAAAAAAGTGTGTGCGTGTGTGTGTGTGTGTCGGGGGGTGGGGGGGGGACATTAGAAACCTCCTGAAGGATGTAATTGTCACCCACAGAACTAAACCAGAGCACTTAAAACAGGATCTTTCGGCATTCTTAAAGAGGAGATGGAGTATACCTTTTCAATTTTGTTCCTTTTTGAAAGCTAGTTTAGAAATTATATTGTTCCTTAAACACTGTGAGAGGAAGTCAGAGTCTCTATCCATTCAGCCGCCGTAAACTATTAAGGTCAAGTGTTCCTAGGGAGTGATTCAAGTGTAGTGTGAGTTCTAGTGAGCTAGCTGGTTGTCCCAACGCTGCTGTCTTTTCTCTTTGGGACAGCCTGCTTACAATTTCTGAAACTTAGACAACGTTTTTTTTTTTTTAATACTGTGTCAGGATCTGTCATAATCTACAGTTGTTCCCTGACTATGCACATAACATTTTATGCTTTGGAGGTCCGTCTTCACCCTTTTCGGCATCATTTGCTTTTCAGATTCTGGAAAGGGTATGCAGAGTAGAGCAAACCACATTTCACACTCTTGTTGTAGGAGAGGCTGAGGGGGCCTCATATGTGTCAGGCAGGCAGTTTTTTTTTACTTCAGTGTCACCAACATTTTCCCCAAAAACTGTCTAGGAGAAGTCACTGTATTAGCTCTTAGGCCTTTGAAATTCCCTTTCAAAATGGCTGTTTTTGGCTAATGCACATGCTTACAGAAGGATTATATCAAAAGGAAGCTTAAACGTGTTCTAGTTCCAGTAACTAACCATCAGCTATTACACAAAGGGGACGGTGTTTTGTGCTTTCCAGATGTTACTGGTTAACAAAATCAAGTCCTCTCAAAGGAATGTACAATGATGGTTGCCAATTAGTTAATGTTTTGGAAAAAGTTGGTATGAAATGCTAATTGCTTTCTAATAATTACCTAAACAGCAGTGCTGATAAGTTTTTAAGGAATTGTTTTTATCGTATTTTTCATATTGCTTTTCCCACAAGACATAAAAAAAAAAAGGACTTCTTATTTTAAATTGCAGTAGAGTGTAGCATTAGCCTGCCTGTTTCTAGGTCTTCTGCCAAGTGCTTTTCACAGTTGAAAACCATTTTTCACTAACAAATTTGGTATTTTATTTCATTACCTATTAGTAACCACTTCAACAATCATTTCACAAGTAAAAGACTGTAAATGAAGTAGAGAGGAACATTTATTGAACCTTTTCTTGACTGGCAGTCAAACTTTGCTACTAAAAATTAACTTTGTAAAAACAACAGTCCATTATTGGCGTCTTCATAGAGAAAGTAGCTATACAATACCCTACATATTTATTTATTTATTATTCTACCATAGCAAAATAACAAAACAAAACCTGATTCAATAAGCCAGTTCTTTGCAGCTGAAAATTAGCTTTTTCTCCTTTACACTCATACTCCATGTATATATGATCAGCATTCCCATTAAAGGAAAGCTGGACATGCAAATACATCATACTATGTTTTCTTCATATTTTATGTTTTCCTGCATATCTGAATACAGTGGGATAAAGAATTTAAAGTAGTGTACCTATGACATTTAGTGTTATTTTAAGAAGGTCAAATGTAGTGAGTGAGATTTGTTGATGGCATTAATAAAAAGGCCCTCCTTATATGTATATTATTTTGTAAACATTTCACTTAAGGGCCAAAAGTTAAATTATAACTAAATCACTGTGTTCTCAGAATATTTAACATTTAACAACAACAAACCCGTGGTCAAACCAAAAGTGTGGGTTGAAGTGTATTTTTCATCTTCTACTGCATTGGCAATTGCAAAAAAATAAAAATAAATAAGGAATTTAATATAAGGATATAGAGATGAATTCAATGTCTAACATTTTTATTTATTTAAATAGTTATTGACCTATGATGACTTCCTAGTCTTAACACTTTATCTCTTTTTATTGTTATTGTTCTTCCTTTTGAAACACTTGGTTCTTAATAGGTTTGTTGATTGCACAGTAGAGGCACTTCATGTTGACCCAGTTCCCAAGTAGCATTAGTAATTGGGCCTGTGTCTTAAAATGCATGGATCTTTAATAACAAAATGTCCCTGACACCTTTCACTACAGGGCTGGGCTTAGACCAACCTNGGGGGGGGGGGGGGGGCTGGGAGGGGGTGCGGCTAAAGAACATGGTCAAAAAATGTCTCCGCTCAGGGATTTATGGTGGATTATTGCAGACAGTGCTAAAAATATAGAGCACAAGACAAGTTTACTAAATTAAAATTTTATTTTTTGAAAAACTGTTATTTGTATAAATTATCAAGATTTGTAGGCTTTCCTTTTGTAGAAATAATTAATTGTTTTATGTGCCAGAGAATTTCAATTTTGTTTTCAACAATAAAGCATTGATAACAAATATGTTGTATAAACTGTTTTTAAGTATTCCACAGCAATAACACTTATAGTCTCTTGGATGTGAACAGAACTAGGAGAAAGTTTTTTAAAAGGTGGAGACTGAGAATCAGATAAAGACAGAGCAGGCCGTCCGAGTGGTGCATTGATTAAGAGCTGGCTTGGGATGCTGGCTCTGAGCAGCAGGGCCCCGGTTCGGATCCCACATGGGGGCCAGGGACACTGCCCTCTATAGCTAAGATGCTGAACAACAGCTCAACCTGGAACTGGGCTGCTGTGAGTCGCCAGTGATGGCATTGGCTGCAGTGAAGCTGCAATGGGCTGCCATAAGCTACCGTGAGTGGCCGGCAGGGAGCGTGGGAGGCCGGCAGCCGGTGTGGGCTCCCAAGAGCCACCATGAGCGGCCGTCCAGAGGCTAGCGACTGATCTGCCTCACCTGGGAAGAGCGCAATGATCACAATAACAACATGGGCCAGTGAAGCGACATCCTCCACAACTAGACTGAAGAACAAAAGGAGAGCAAATTGTCTGTCCCCCTTCCCGGATTCCCCAATGCTGTTGCCCTCCCTCAATTCCCCAATAAAATCTATAAAAAAAAAAAGAGAGAGAGAGCATGGCTAATGCATAATCAACAATAATAATTAATCATCAATTTTCAGTGGTTAATAAGGGTTGCCATTATCAGATTTGCCATGTTTAGGAAAGATGACATAGTTTTGTTTTTGTTTTATTGATGAACTGTACAAAAGTGTTAGGAAATAGCCCCAGCAGGGCCAATTCCCTGCTTCATTGTTTGGTAAAAATGACCATATTTAGAAGATCCTGGTATTTAGTTCTGGTCCTAGAGGAAAGGGAAACCCTTTTCTGCTGAGAGCGTGGGTGTGGCACATTCAGGGGTCTGGTAGGAAAATCCTTGGGTCCTAGATAAGGTATAAACTGATAGATAGAGAATTCAACAGTCTTGTTAAAAATGTTGTTATATAACAGCATGAATGTGTATTGCCTAATTCCTTTATTACAGGATAAAATTTAGCTAGAAAGATTTTCTGTGAAACATCCTATGGATGTGTGAGGTTATGTTCCAGCTTTAGGGTTAAGGAAACCAGACATATGAAATAACTTGTTCAGGTTACAAAGCTAGCAATCAGCAAGCCTGTCCCCATGTTGTCCTACGCTCATAGGTTCCATGTCATGGATGCACTCAGGCACTAAACCCAAGCCTGGAGACGAGGTTTTTCACATTCCTTGACATTTCTCTGGCTATTGCATCTTACACAAATCATGTTCTCTACCTCTCTCATTGCAGGTGATCATGAAGATTGGAGAAGGTTGCTATGGTTTGAATGTTTATGTGTCCCCCAAACTCATGTTGAAAACCTAATGCCTAGAGGTGATGGTATTAGGAAGTAGGGAAGTAGGGGAGCAATTGGGTCATGAGGATGAAGCCCTCATGAGTGAGATTGATGCCCTTATAAAAGAGGCTCCAGAGAACGCTTATCCCTTTCCCCATGTGAGGATACAACAAGAAGTCTGGGGCGGCCGGTTAGCTCAGTTGGCTAGAGCGCAGGCTCATAACACCAAGGTTGCCGATTCAATCCCCACGTGAGCTACTGAGTTGCACCCTCCACAACTAGATTGAAACAACTACTGGACCTGGAGCTGATGGGTCCCGGAAAACACACTGTTCCCCAATAAAAAATAATAAAAAGTCTGCAACCCAGAAGAGGGCCCTCACCAGACCATGCTGGCACCCAAATCTCAGACTTCCAGCCTCCAGAGCTGTAAGAAGTAAATTTCTGTTGTCTATAAGCTACCCTGTCTGTGGTATTTTGTTATAACAGCCCAAACAGACCAAAACAGAAGGAATGCATGAAAAACATTAAAAATTTAGATTGTGAAAGCCAAAAAAAGACTTCAGTAGATATGCAGCTAAACCTATTTACTTTTTACCCGAGGAAATTAAGACCCCCAAGTTAAGTGATTTAACCAAGATCCCAAAACTATTGGGTTGTCGGAAAAGTCATGACGTATGTTTTCTATGTTTTTCGTTGCAAAATGCGTCATGACTTTTCCAAGAACCCAATAGTTAGTGGCAATTGCACAATAGGCTATACAAATGTCAGTTAAGAGGTCTTGCGGTATGAAGTAATTGCATAATTGTCTCCATATTTAAATCAAGGTCTAGCTTTAACTTGGATCAAAGCTCTATGACTCTGAAACCAGTGATGCAGGGGCCAGGGTTTTTTTGTTTTTGTTTTTTGTGGGGGGTTTTTGACATTGTTTCTGCAGTCTGGCATATTGTTGTTGAGTAGATGAACATAAAATACATAATAAATGAAAATCCCGTCTATTAATTGCTCATGATCAACTTGATATTTTTAAAAATCGCTTTCTGAAAAGTTGAAGTTTGGGGTTCAGTGATTCTTCTCACTTGATATTTTTCACCTCAGTGGTGACAGTTTCCTCATAGTATACATTTCTAGTACAAAGAAAGGACATGTATCCAAGTCTTGGTTACTCTATTACAAGGAAAGAAACTGGAGTTCTGTGGATATTTTAAGAATTATAATAATTCCAATTCATAGGTATGTACCTTTGGAATATGATTTTTCACTTAATTTCAATATTTTCAATACTATACAATTTGCTTCCTACAACTTAAAAACTCAGCTCAGTTTACTGACGGGAAACATGCTAGAAAACTTGCCTTTCATACTGAAACAGCAACGCTGGAAGGAGAGAGCAAGCCGAAACGGCAATGTGATTGTGCTCTCTCTGTTAGCCTTAGTTTTGCCTTAGAGAAAGATGCATGGTTCCCAGGATTTCCAGCTCCTTACTGTGCCATGGTGGGTGGTCTTCCAGTAGGATGCAATCACAGACCTTTGGATTGATTGCCTTTGATTCCATCTGCCACTTCACCACATATTGACCTGTTGTTGTTGTTGTTGTTCCATAGAGATTTGGGATGCATGCCCCCACCCCACCCCTTCCGGAGTACTTCTGAAATTTGAAGGTTTTTTGTTAACTTGAAATTTCTGTGACGTTTTTCTTCTAAGTTTTTCAAAACATTCCCCCAACTTCTTACAACTGGCCTCGGATGTTATTGTTACTGAATTGCCTACTTCTAAAGAGTAGAGAAAAGAGCTTTTGTTTGGCAAGGAAATCTTTGGACCAAATGAGAAAGTTAGAAATATGCAAGACAACTTGATGAGGTTGAAGGGGTTCAGAACAGGCCTCCCAAAAATGTGCTTCTTTGGCATGTGGACTATTGTGAGCTGAAGGTTGATTGAGACCCTCGGGACAAACTTCTGGGTGCTCAGGAGGAACTTCTGCCACTCCCTTATAATGGGGGTTTTGTCCATAAGAAGATTTATTACCAGGAATAACTTTTTATGACCTGTCTGTATGGCAGGGCAAACTTCTAATTACTGAATATCTGCTCTTCTTATTCTGTGAATTTTCCTCCTTCCATCTGAAGCCCTGAGGCATTAGGCCTCATTCCTTAGCTCAGGATGCCATATATATCTCATTTTACTTTCTGTCCCTGAACTTCTCACATATGTGGGTCTCTGACTCTGTCATGTATGTGGGGTTCCCATATGTATGTAATTAAATCTTATTATTTTCTCTTGTTAATCTGTCTCATGCAAATTTAATTATTAGACCAGTTGAAAGAATATAGAAGGGTAGAGGAAAATTTCTTCCTCCCCCACAGGTCATTAAAAAAAATACCTATAGGAATCTAGAAGTTAATGTAATATCTAAAATGGTACTTGTGGAAAGTTTTCAGAGATTCCCAAAAGGAGAAAGTCAAAGTGGAAAAAGAAGAGGTAGACACATGGAGAACTGACTGTTAAGGGCCATTAGTGCTAACTCACTTTGTGTTGTAGAGGTAGAGGATTTGGTTAGAACAGTAAACTGTGTCCTGGGCCGGCCAAGTGGCGCGTTGGTTAAGAGCTGGCTTGGGACGCCAGAGGGCCCGTTTCAGATCCCACATATGAGGGCCAGTGACACTGCCCTCTACAGCTAAGATGCTGAACAACAGCTCAACCTGGAGCTGGGATGCCGTGAATCGCCAGCGACGGCATAGGCTGCAGCCCCTGTGGCAGTGGGTTGCCATGGGCTACCATGTGTAGCCAGCAGCCAGCGTGAGCGGCCAGCAGCCAACGTGAGCGGCTGTCCAGAAGCCTGCGACTGATCAGCCTCGCCCAGGAAGAGCGCAATGATGGTGCCAACTTGGGCCAGTGAAGCAACGTCCTCCACAACTAGACTGAAGAACAAAAGGACATCAACTTGTCTGTTCCCCTTCCCCCAATTCCCCAGCACTGTTCCCATCTCCCAACCCCCCAATTAAAAAAAAAAATCTTTAAAAAAAATAAAATTAAAATAAAATAAAAATAAAACTGTGTCCTTTTTGGCTGCCCAGTAATCTGCCAAGATTACCTCATTCCTTAGTTCAGTCCTCATCCCACTATGTTGTGTGGGGGGAAAAATGTAATACGTGTGGTTAATACAACCACAGGAGAGGCTAGAGAAACGTTCAAACAATGTAAAGTCTAGACCAGAACTGGCTATCTATTCTGATCTGAACTGTATTTAATTTTTTCCTACCTCCTTTGGATTTGACAGGAATATTGCTCATTCCCACAAAGCTATCAGCCATTCTCCGGTCAGATGGCGAGAACACGGTTCTGTATTTCAAAGAATAGCTCAAGACTCCTAGAAACACTTTTTCTAATAATTTTCTATCATGTCTCTTTCTTTTTTATCCTAGAAGACTCAAAATGAAATAACACCTTTGAGAACTTTCTCTTGGTCTTATCATTGAGCAGCTAGAGACCATAATGAAAGTTAAAAAAAATGTACTGAGAGAGAAATACAGCAATTTAATCATTTCCAAAAAATTTTAAAATATCATAAAAGAATTAAAATGCCTTCTTTTTTTCAGCGGGACACTCCTCTCATATAGTGTAAAACATTATTTATTACCAGAAAACCAGAACTGG